ATCATCATAATCACAAAAATAAAAAATAAATAACTTTTTTTTTCTTTGCTTTTTGGAAATGTATTTTATTGTCTGTTTGCACAGATATTAAAATGTGGTAAAGACCTATGGCGAAATGCAAAACATTGGAGGAAAAAAAAAAGGAAAAAAGATTATTGATGAAATCCATTATGCATTTTTTCTGTATTTATCACTGAATAATATTCAAAATAAAGATTCTTATTTTGACTGTATATTATACATTAAAGCTGTTAATGCTGTCCTGGTATTGGGCACTAAATTGTCACAAGTCACCAGCATTTAGCTAGTTAAGAAACTTGTTTTTTTGCCACCGTCTGTTCATCCTGTTACCTCTGAACATTTCTGTTTCATCCAGTCTTTGAAGCTTAGCTCTGATTGGACCTGATGAAACTGTCAGAGAATGATGTGTTTTGATTCCTTGCTGAAGGTCTTCGCACAGCCTAGCTATGAAGTGTAGAATACAAAAGCATTGATCAGAGTTTTGAATTCATGTTGTGTTTAGGGCATTGGGACACATGACTTCCCCTTTTTTGTGAACATTACCTGATTAAGCTTGTAATGGTCTTAAAGTGCCTAGAGTGGTTTGTTTCCAAGCCTGCTCTCTCCTATAGAATTAGAATGGTGCTGAGCAAAGGACAAATATTTTGGTCAGTGTAACATTGCTTTTTTGAAGTTATTGTGATGTCAGATTACAGTCTCAGAGGCTTACCTTAGCCTGTGTAGACTATTAACTATTAACGTTGCAATGGATGCTGCTCCTTGATGCTTAAAAATTTTAGTTTCCTGCAGAATCAGCTGTGCCCTTGAGCACTGGCCCTGATGGTCTTCGATGGCTCCTTTCCCTTGCAGGGTCCTATGGAGCAACCCTTGTGTGTGCTAGTAAGTTGTGTGTGTCTTCACACATAGACACAGCAGGGTAAGCCACTCCACTGCTCCTCCCTCTTCTCCAAGCTAGTAGATTGACAGCTACTGGATACTGCCCTTCCCTTTGTACTGGACAGGAAGTTCAGGGAAGCAGAACTAAGAGTTGTAGCCAGCAGTTTGGAAACATAATGACTGTAATGTTTGGGTGAAAATATAAAGAAATACTTTGTTGGACAACATGTATATTTGTTTGATCAAGATTCGTTATTGAAAACAAGTTTGAGAGTTTACTACTACTTTAATGTGTCCCCTTATTGAGCAGTGCTTCATAGTGTGTGTACTTTACTACCTGATCAATATCTGTTGAAAAGTTAGTACCAAATTGCAAAGTTGCATGATATAAGGATCTCAGTATAACAATTCACAGGCAGTTTAGGGGTATTCTTTTCCACTTTTATTTCTTTGGCAACGAGGTCACACTGCCTCCACCAGCTTGCATTCTTCCCATAGTGCATCCTGGTGCCATCTCTTCCCCAGGTAAGTGACACACGCACCCAGCCATCCACATGTTGTAAAAAAAAAATGTGATTCATCAGACTAGGCCACCTTCTTCCATTGCTCTGTGGTCCAGTTCTGATGCTCACGTGCCCATTGCAATGCACTGTCTGTCCTGGCACCTTTCTATCAGAAACAGCATTAACTTTTTCAGCAATTTTAGCTACAGTAACTCTATAGCTATAGTATCTATTGGATTAGACCGCATGGACCAGCCTTCGCTCCCCACGTGCTGCCCATGAACCTGTTGCCAGTTCACCGGTTTTCCTTCCTTCGACCACTTTTGGTCCTTACTACTGCAGACTGGGAACATCCCACAAGAACTGCAGTTGTGGAGTTGCTCTGATCTAGTCGTCTAGACCAGCGGTTTTCAACCTGTGTCACCTCAGGACCCACATTTGTCCTCGGTCATTAAGCCGTGACCCAAATTGCACTGGAACACACGGCATTGCGGTACCACGCGTTCTGGTGCAAGCGATCAAACTGGTGGTGCCTTTGGGGTGACATTCAAATGAATGGCCATGCAACACACCTCCCACACCAGAATTCACTGTAGGTACAATTTTGCATAGTACAGTATGTTAGTCACATGGGGCTGTGCAAATATGGCACTGTACTAGTGTAAACAGGCCCCCAAAAACACTGACAGACACACACAATCTCACAGACAAACACACACTCAAATTAATTTTTTAAAAATGTTTAAGATCCACCCAGTCTCCCTAACTTTTGACAACTGAAGTGGATCCTCAGCCTGGGGTCCAGTGTCGGATGCTGTACTTTGATGGAGCTACATCCATATGTGCATTGCTTGTATAGCTCCGTTGCATGCACTGTAGAGGTTCCGGAGCCAGAATGTGACATCACCCTGGACAAGGTTCCTCTATAGGACTTGAAAGGAAGCTGTAAGCAATGCACGTATAAGTGGAGCTCCCTCGCAGCCATAGCCCCACCTCAAGCTGGCACTCAGTACAGGGCAGCATATTTTGAATGGCTGCTTGGCGTAAGAACTGACAGTGCTGCTCTAAGGGGTGGCTGAGGAACCTCTCGCCTAAAAAAGTGGAAGGCATGCGGCGACCCTCTGAACAAGGGGTCGCGACCCACTTTTGGGTCACGACACACCCGTTGAGAACCAAGGGTCTAGACATCACAATTTGGCCCTTGTCAGACTCACTCAAATCCTTAGTTGCCCATTTTTTTGTCTGCTTCCAACACATCGACTTCAAGTACAAAATGTTCACTTGCCGCCTAATATATCCCACCCACTTCCAGGTTCCATTATAACAAGAAAATCAATGTTTTTCACTTGACCTCTCAGTGGTCATAATATTATTGCTGATTGGTATACAATTTAATATAAATGTATCTTTTTTATGTGGGGGAGGTTATAGCTGCCATTGAACTGTATTACCCAAGCTCCATGTTTCTTTGCTTTTGCCTCATTTCTACGAATCTCATAAAACATCCTTGTCTTTACCCTTATTGAATGCAACTGTTGTATTCAGGCTATGTTATGTACCTGATATAGATCTGTGCCCACGAGTTTTATTGTAAAGATCATACTACAGAAACAATCAGGATTTTTTTTTTAAAAAGGGAAGACAAAGTAGGTAGGGGAGAAATCCATGGCATTGTTACTGGAACTAATGCTTGATTTCTTTATATATTTTATATATATTTTTTACCTTAGGCACACCAAGCAGCTGTACCAGGTGACAATTTTTATATTATTTTTACAGAACATGGTTATTTTAAACTAATCTTTACTACTTACCTACAGATATAAAACCTGCAAACGTCTTTATAACAGCAACCGGAGTTGTGAAATTAGGAGACCTTGGACTTGGTCGGTTCTTCAGCTCCAAGACCACCGCGGCACATTCCTTGGGTAAAACACTATCTTCTATCTCCTCTTACTTATTTTAACACTGGCAACATTTTTAACCGATCATGTTTATTCTTGTTTGCACTACTCATAAGGTCCTTAGTGATCCCCTTCACAGTACAGACTTCACCATAATCCAACATTTTTTCTTTAACTTATGAAGTTTATTTCATGTACATGAAGTTGATTATTTTCTGTGTTTATTCACTGCATGTCAAAATATGTGTACCCAAATCTGGCAAACTGTTTGGATGGGCAATGGTGCATTTGCTGCTTTGGAAGTCTGTGCTCCTTATTATGTGAAAATGGTTATCGCAGAGACAACTCCCTAATTTTACTGGAAAGTGACAACCCTTGAACACTTACCTAAGCGTTTGAAAGAAATTTGCAATTCTAAGCTGCAGCTTAATATTTTGAATAATTGGCGTTTCCACAATAGAAATATCCAAATGCACAGAGTGTTCTTAACAAAAACATACAAAAACTGGTGTATAGGTCCAGTATTTGGGAAATGTGTGCACGGTTTAGATCACAGAAATCATTTGTATTTGATTTTATTGAATCTCTAAATATAATGTTGAAATGAATATATGTGAACTGTTTTTTAATCAATAATATACCATTAAGTGTATTTTTAAATACAAGTAATGTAAGTACCTGAATTTGGCCTAATATCTGCCTCTTGCAGTCCATGTCCCCCCCTTCAGTCCATCATGAACACTGCTGCCAGACTCATCCACATTACAAATTAATCAGTGTCCACCACCCCCTTCTGCCAATCGGCCACTGGTTCCCACTTCCCTAACGTATAAAATTCAAAATACTAACAATAACCTTCAAAGCCATATACAATTCTGCCCCAAACTACATCACCCACCTCATTTTAAAATATCACCCAAGACCTCCTGCTCTCGTCACCTCCTCGCATGCTCGCCTCCAGGATTTTTGCAGAATGTCTCCCATCCTCTGGAACTCTCTACCCCAATATGTCCGCCTATCCCCTACTCTGTCTACCTTTAGGCGATTCTTGAAAACTCATCTCTTCATAGAGCCCTATTCCACCTTGTTATAACAATACTTTCAGTTCTTCCATTAAATCATCCCAAACAGTTATTACCTACAGTATGTGTCACTTGCCCCTCCTACTAGATTGAAAGCCCTCACAAGCAGGGCCCTCCTACCTCCTGTACTGAATTTGTATTGTTAATGGTATGGTCTCCCTCAGTATTGTAAAGCACTAGGAAAACTGCTGGTGCTATATATATCCTGTATTGTAATAGTTTATATAGTATAGTAATAATAATGTACAGCAGGGCAGTACAGCGAGCCAGTTAGTTCATGATGATGAGAAAGCAGAGTGACAGAGAGGTGTCCCTGTCCAGTAACAGAGGTATGCTGAGCTCAGAGAAAATGGGTTGAAAAAATAGTGCATTCAGCATTTTTTCTGATGGCACCAGACCGGACCGGAATTCAGGCATTGATATGCCACCTGTTACAGTGCAAGCGATCGCACTGCGGCCAGAGGGTGTGGCTGTGGTGCCATTGACTTCAATGCATCACCACGCCCCCTCCCACCCCAGAACACAGTGAGCCGTCTGGGATGCGATCCAGTGCCTTCCGGCACCTAATCGTGTGAACCAGCCCTAAACCAGTCTTTTTTAACTAGGGTGCCCTGAATCGATCAACATTTTCTGATGGTAGGAGGAATTCCAATATAAAAGGGGGTCATATGAAGAAGGAGTCATGTGAAGGGGTCTTCTGATGTAATGGGGTCTTCTGATATAAGGAGGAATTCTGATGTGAAGGGAGGCTTCTCATAAGAAAGGTGGGGTACGCTAATGTAAAAGGGGAGAGCTTCTAATGTGAAGGGTGTCTAATGATGTAAAAGAGGGGCTTCTGATGTGAAGGGGGCTTCTGAGTGGATCCACTCCCACAGGATTATAGATTCAGTTTCTAAACCACACGTTTTTCCTCTAAAAGAACGATAAAAAACGTTTTTATGTATAGTGTTTTACACATAAATTTATCACGTATTTGCATATTGTATAAAGAAGATAGCAACACGGGTGTCTAATGATGTAAAAGAGGGGCTTCTGATGGGAAGGGGGCTTCTGATAAGAAAGGTGGGGTACGCTAATGTAAAAGGGGAGAGCTTCTAATGTGAAGGGTGTCTACTGATGTAAAAGAGGGGCTTCTGATGGGAAGGGGGCTTCTGATAAGAAAGGTGGGGTACGCTAATGTAAAAGGGGAGAGCTTCTAATGTGAAGGGTGTCTACTGATGTAAAAGAGGGGCTTCTGATGGGAAGGGGGCTTCTGATAAGAAAGGTGGGGTACGCTAATGTAAAAGGGGAGAGCTTCTAATGTGAAGGGTGTCTACTGATGTAAAAGAGGGGCTTCTGATGGGAAGGGGGCTTCTGATAAGAAAGGTGGGGTACGCTAATGTAAAAGGGGAGAGCTTCTAATGTGAAGGGTGTCTACTGATGTAAAAGAGGGGCTTCTGATGGGAAGGGGGCTTCTGATAAGAAAGGTGGGGTACGCTAATGTAAAAGGGGAGAGCTTCTAATGTGAAGGGTGTCTACTGATGTAAAAGAGGGGCTTCTGATGGGAAGGGGGCTTCTGATAAGAAAGGTGGGGTACGCTAATGTAAAAGGGGAGAGCTTCTAATGTGAAGGGTGTCTACTGATGTAAAAGAGGGGCTTCTGATGGGAAGGGGGCTTCTGATAAGAAAGGTGGGGTACGCTAATGTAAAAGGGGAGAGCTTCTAATGTGAAGGGTGTCTACTGATGTAAAAGAGGGGCTTCTGATGGGAAGGGGGCTTCTGATAAGAAAGGTGGGGTACGCTAATGTAAAAGGGGAGAGCTTCTAATGTGAAGGGTGTCTACTGATGTAAAAGAGGGGCTTCTGATGGGAAGGGGGCTTCTGATAAGAAAGGTGGGGTACGCTAATGTAAAAGGGGAGAGCTTCTAATGTGAAGGGTGTCTACTGATGTAAAAGAGGGGCTTCTGATGGGAAGGGGGCTTCTGATAAGAAAGGTGGGGTACGCTAATGTAAAAGGGGAGAGCTTCTAATGTGAAGGGTGTCTACTGATGTAAAAGAGGGGCTTCTGATGGGAAGGGGGCTTCTGATAAGAAAGGTGGGGTACGCTAATGTAAAAGGGGAGAGCTTCTAATGTGAAGGGTGTCTACTGATGTAAAAGAGGGGCTTCTGATGGGAAGGGGGCTTCTGATAAGAAAGGTGGGGTACGCTAATGTAAAAGGGGAGAGCTTCTAATGTGAAGGGTGTCTACTGATGTAAAAGAGGGGCTTCTGATGGGAAGGGGGCTTCTGATAAGAAAGGTGGGGTACGCTAATGTAAAAGGGGAGAGCTTCTAATGTGAAGGGTGTCTACTGATGTAAAAGAGGGGCTTCTGATGGGAAGGGGGCTTCTGATAAGAAAGGTGGGGTACGCTAATGTAAAAGGGGAGAGCTTCTAATGTGAAGGGTGTCTACTGATGTAAAAGAGGGGCTTCTGATGGGAAGGGGGCTTCTGATAAGAAAGGTGGGGTACGCTAATGTAAAAGGGGAGAGCTTCTAATGTGAAGGGTGTCTACTGATGTAAAAGAGGGGCTTCTGATGGGAAGGGGGCTTCTGATAAGAAAGGTGGGGTACGCTAATGTAAAAGGGGAGAGCTTCTAATGTGAAGGGTGTCTACTGATGTAAAAGAGGGGCTTCTGATGGGAAGGGGGCTTCTGATAAGAAAGGTGGGGTACGCTAATGTAAAAGGGGAGAGCTTCTAATGTGAAGGGTGTCTACTGATGTAAAAGAGGGGCTTCTGATGGGAAGGGGGCTTCTGATAAGAAAGGTGGGGTACGCTAATGTAAAAGGGGAGAGCTTCTAATGTGAAGGGTGTCTACTGATGTAAAAGAGGGGCTTCTGATGGGAAGGGGGCTTCTGATAAGAAAGGTGGGGTACGCTAATGTAAAAGGGGAGAGCTTCTAATGTGAAGGGTGTCTACTGATGTAAAAGAGGGGCTTCTGATGGGAAGGGGGCTTCTGATAAGAAAGGTGGGGTACGCTAATGTAAAAGGGGAGAGCTTCTAATGTGAAGGGTGTCTACTGATGTAAAAGAGGGGCTTCTGATGGGAAGGGGGCTTCTGATAAGAAAGGTGGGGTACGCTAATGTAAAAGGGGAGAGCTTCTAATGTGAAGGGTGTCTACTGATGTAAAAGAGGGGCTTCTGATGGGAAGGGGGCTTCTGATAAGAAAGGTGGGGTACGCTAATGTAAAAGGGGAGAGCTTCTAATGTGAAGGGTGTCTACTGATGTAAAAGAGGGGCTTCTGATGGGAAGGGGGCTTCTGATAAGAAAGGTGGGGTACGCTAATGTAAAAGGGGAGAGCTTCTAATGTGAAGGGTGTCTACTGATGTAAAAGAGGGGCTTCTGATGGGAAGGGGGCTTCTGATAAGAAAGGTGGGGTACGCTAATGTAAAAGGGGAGAGCTTCTAATGTGAAGGGTGTCTACTGATGTAAAAGAGGGGCTTCTGATGGGAAGGGGGCTTCTGATAAGAAAGGTGGGGTACGCTAATGTAAAAGGGGAGAGCTTCTAATGTGAAGGGTGTCTACTGATGTAAAAGAGGGGCTTCTGATGGGAAGGGGGCTTCTGATAAGAAAGGTGGGGTACGCTAATGTAAAAGGGGAGAGCTTCTAATGTGAAGGGTGTCTACTGATGTAAAAGAGGGGCTTCTGATGGGAAGGGGGCTTCTGATAAGAAAGGTGGGGTACGCTAATGTAAAAGGGGAGAGCTTCTAATGTGAAGGGTGTCTACTGATGTAAAAGAGGGGCTTCTGATGGGAAGGGGGCTTCTGATAAGAAAGGTGGGGTACGCTAATGTAAAAGGGGAGAGCTTCTAATGTGAAGGGTGTCTACTGATGTAAAAGAGGGGCTTCTGATGGGAAGGGGGCTTCTGATAAGAAAGGTGGGGTACGCTAATGTAAAAGGGGAGAGCTTCTAATGTGAAGGGTGTCTAC